AATATAATGAACAATTTTAAAATTCACTTTTTTCTACTATTTTTTTGCACATGTGCCTTTAATCTCTGTGTATCTGATTATTACTAGTCACAGTCCGTTACACTCAGATCCTTGGCACCTGAGTATGGACATAAAGTCATCAGGTAGATTTCACTGGTAATGTTTATCACCTCTACTAATTAACATGAAGTAAATTTTTATGCTTCCTCCTCAAATATGTCTTTTCTTTTTAATTTGTTGATTATTTTTGTGTATCTCCTACAGAACATCCCACACAATCTTATTCATCTATATACCCACTCCCCAAATTGCATCCTCCCATAGCCCCCACCCCCGAGCCCATATACTCTGTCATCCCTGTTACTGTCCACTGTGTTGTTGGTGTCCCCAGCCATTCCCCAGTGCCTGTCCATCTGCTGAATCTAGTCAGCCATTTCTAGAGGTTCTTGTTTTAGGAAGATCAGCTGTTCTTCATGTAGCAGCAATCAGTTTTCAATATTCCTTTAGATAAGATTGGGGTCTGCTGTTCATTTTCCCAGTTCTATGATGGGTTACTGTCTGTGAGTCTTTTGGGCCACCCTGGCCAATAACTCAAAGGAAGGTGTATCTCCTGTCTGGCATTCTTGTTATGTAGCCTTTAGCTATACATATGGACTCTTAAAAAATTATATTGACCTCATTAATCTTTGGTTATACTTTCCTTTTGGGTGTTTAAGACCCTACAATTGGCCCAGATAAACCAATTTATTTTGACTCTTAAGGTTGTTTGAGGATCTGTTCCCAGGGGTCACATGGGCTTGGGAGGATCCCCTGGCTCCATTCTTTTGCCAGTTCTGTCTATGTGAAGATAAGTCAAAGGTCCTGCTTGACCATGTCTGGCCTCGCTTCGAAGCATGGAGGAAATGTTTCTTCTATGTTGACCCTCCTCTTTGTAGGCTGGACACTGGTTCAAGACCATCTGGTGGAGTCTCCACGGCCTCCTTGATCAAGAGAACAGGTGACTAACCACAGTTACAGGACATTTTGAGAGATGCTCATCGTCCCCTGGAACTTAGTCATCCTAGGAGGACAAGGAGCAAAAACTGTCCTTTGTGTCCCTCTGTCCAAATTAGTATAGGCCTCATAGTATGGCTATTAAACATCCAAGAAGGTTATTTCCACCAGTCTGGTACTTTTAATTACCATGTGCCATGTAGATAAAGCTTGGGCAAACACCAAACTCTCTCAGATAAACCTTGCCTAGACATATATTCTTTGATCTGGTTGTACATATAATTTGTCAGTAGGTTGTTGGACTAATATGGTTCCCTCTGGTTTTTTAAAAGTAGCTAGGCATTATTTATCTCTTGCATTGTCTAACCCTTCCACCATGGTTTCCCCATTTAAGGTGCTCCCGTTTTCCCCCTTTCTCCCTTCTCCTATGGTCCCACGTCTCTTGAGCGCCTTCTTTCCCTTTATCCCCAAGGTTCCTTGAATAACCTTCCCTTCCCCCCTTAACATAACCCCATTTTTATCTGTATTTCCCTTATTAACACGTTTCCTACAGTTCTTATCTTTCAGATTCTTTCTTTTCCTTTACCTCTCTGGTTCCTTTTCATTATCCTGGTTCCTGTAGTTATGTTTGGATACATAATCACTTGTCAGGATTTGGTGCTAGAATCCACATATGAGGGAGAATATATGTCAGGTTTTTTTTTTTTTTTTTCCTGAGTCTGTGTTACTTCACTTACTATAACCATTTCTAGTTCCATTCATTTACCTGCAAATTTCATGATTTCATCTTTCTTTACTGCTGAGTAAAACTCCACCGTATAAATGAACCACATTTTCATTATCCACTTGTCACTTAAGGGACACTTAGGTTACTTCCATCCCTTAGCTATTGTGAAAAGAGCAGCAACAAACATGGATGTATAAGTATCTCTGCAATACGATGAGTTCTTTGGGTATATGCCAAGGAGTGGTATAACTGGGTCAAATGGTAGGTTCATTTGTAGTTTTTTAAGAGTTCTCCACACTGCTTTCCATAGGGGTTGAACAAGTTTGCAGTCCCACCAGCAGTGAATGAGCGTTCCCGTTTCTCCACAACCTCTCCAAATTTGGTATCATTTGTTCTCTTGATTTTAGCCAGTCTGACTGGGGTAAGATGAAATATTAGAATGGTTTTAATTTGCATTTCCCTAATTGCTAGTGATGTTGAACACCTTTTAAGATGCTTCTTAGCCATCTTTATTCTTTTGAGAATTCTGTTCAGTTCCTTAGCCCATCTTTTAATTGGGTTGCTTCTTGTCTTGATTCTCTGTTTTTTGAGTTCGTTATTTATTCTGGGTGTTAAAGCTCTGTCAGATGTGTCGCTGGTGAAGATTTTCTCCCATTCTGTGGGTTTTCTCTTCACTTCTTTGGTTGCTTCTTTTGATGTACAGAAGCCTTTTAGTTTAATGAGGTCCTATTTGTTGATTCCTGACCTTGTTTGCTGACCAGTTGATGTCAGTTTAGAAAATCCTTTCCAACACCTATGTCTTGTGGGTTATTGCCAATGTTTTCTTCTAACAGTTTCAGAATTTCAGGCTTCACATTGAGGTCTTTGATCAGGATATTATTTATTTACTTTCATTTTTATGTGCATGAGTGTTTTGCCTGCATGCATGTAAGTACACACATGCACCCAGTGTCCACAGAGGCCAGAAGAGGGTGTTGGATTGCCTGGAACTGGAATTACGGGTGATTGTTAGCCAAGATATGGATGCTGGGAACCAAACCTGGGTTCTCTGCAGTAGCAGCCAATGCCCTTAACTGCTGAGCCATCTCTCCAGTCCTGAGTATATTATTCTTATTGATAACCTCCTTCTAAGTTGAAAGTAGTATTATTTATTATTTATCTGAACATAGAATCAAACAACAACAAAAATAACCAAATGGCTTAATTTGATATCCTTGGTATGGTAATTGCCTAGAACGTGAGGCTGTTTCTAATCTGTACTCTGTATTCCCAGCCTGCTTTTAAATATGAGTCTAAGCTATGTTTTTAAGAAGTCAATTCTTCCTCTCTGGCTCTGCCAGTTCTGTTTTGACCTTGTGATGTGTATCCCATAGCCAGAAAACAGCTTGGCCCACTGTTAATTGGGCTAACCTTCCTAGGAAGTCATCAGCATTACTGGGGTTGTCCTCTGAAGGAACGTGACCCACTGTGGCTACCTTGCACTTCCTTTCAGAGATATAACAGTCAAATGCAATGGATGAGATTTGACTGGATGCTGGAGCAGGAAACAAAATGAAAACATTTACAAAAGACAGTTAGAAAAGTTTAGGGCTGGGAAGATGGATCAATCAGTAAAATGCCTGCTGCAGAAGCATGAGGACCTGAATTCAGATCCCTGGAACTCATATAAAAAGCCAGGCACAGTGTCTCTGACTGTAACCCAGCATAGAGTAGGGATGGGGGCACTGAGTCAGGCACATCCCTGAAGCTCATTGGCTGACCAGCTAGTTGAATAAATAAGCTTCAGGGTGAATTAGAGACCCTGTCTCAAAATAAAGGTGGAAGCCAGGTGTGGTGGTACACGTCTTCAATACCAGCATTTGGGAGCAAAGCAGGTGGTTCTCTGTGAGTTGGAGGGCAGTCTGGTTTTCATAGTGAGTTCCTAGCTAGCTAGGGCTACATAGTGAGGTCTTGTCTCAATAAATTAAATAAATAAGGAAGGAAAGCTATGAAGAAAAGAAGCTTGATGTCCACCTGTGGTCTCCATATATAAGTGCATGTAACATATGCTCACACCCACACTAACAAGTACATACATCATCCACACGCATTTCTATGTTTCTTCAAATAATTCGAGATTGGTATATTTCAGAACTCCTCATCATTTAATCTAAGGTAACTTAATTAAATGTTTACCATTTCCCAAAGAGCTCACTGCCATATTTCAAACAAGAAAATCATTCAAAAGATAAGTATGAAGTATATTGATTCATGAGTGTGCATTTTCAACAAATTGTTGTTTTAAAAATTTCTTGAATTTTTGCCTTGGAAAGGCTATTTTAAAGCTCCTCTGTCTGAATTATTAAGAATTTCACTGTAAGAGCTGGAGAGATGGCTCAGTGGTTAATAGTACTGGCTGCTCTTGCAGAGGACCTGGGTTTGAGTCCTAGCACCCACATGGTGGCTAGCAATCATCTGTAACTCCAGGTCACAGGGATCTGACGCCCTCTTCTGACCTCCTCAGTCACTGTATAGTACAGATGAACTTATATACATGCAAGCAAAGCACTCATACACAGAAAATGAAAATAATAAATAAAATATTTTAAAAAAGAATTTCACTGTATTACAAAACTGCTTATCAAGCTGTGCTTTATCAAATTCCTGTGCTTTACCAAATTTTGTAAATCAATTCCAGAAAGTAGTTTAGTGTTTAGGGCAGCGGGTTATGGAGATTCTCTTGATCTGTACCTCTAATTAATAATACCCAGACATTTTTAATTATTTGCATGTGAATCACCAGTCAGAGAAGAGT